CATGAAATGTAAAAGTCTTCTTAGTGGTGGGACTTCTTTGGATATTATTTTTCTCTTAAAAAGAGACAGATGACCTGTAGCTATCACAAAATGATAGTTTATTATGAACAAAAAATTCCAAGATATTCAAAAGTTTACCAAAAGTGGACAAATCTTTAAACAATTACATGTGAACAAAACTATTTCAAAACATCCAAAACCTAAATTTCCTATACCATTAACATTAATCTATATTTGATTTAAATAATAATAACAATCAATTAATTAAATAATTGTATTAAAATTTGAAAATCTTCTTGGAAAGAAAGCAGTAGGCTTGAATGTTTTTGCTGGAGATTTTTATTAAAATCTCAAAAACAATTTAAATATATATAAATCATTTAAGAGAACTGAAAAAGAGGATATGCACCTTCTATACCACAACCTGACAAGAACAAAACCAAAAAGAAAAGTTATAGTTTTATCTCACCTATGAACACATATAAGAAAATACTCAGCAGTTTTTTTTAAATTTACTAATATTTCTAATTTTATAAGCATTAATAAATTTGCTGAATTACATAAAAAGGATAATATATCATGTCTAAGCTGGATTTATACCAATAAAGAAAAGTTGTCTTAACATTAGTAAATCTGTATTTGTATTTTGCCATCTTATTTTAAAAATCATATGGAATTCTCAATACAGACAGACAAAACATTGTAGCACTCATTATGAAAATGTAAGCAGACTCTAACGGAGAAATTCCTTAGACTTAGAAGATCTAAAGAGCTTTACAAAAATATATTTAAATTTGAAAGTTTTCCCTTTGAGATAGGGAGCAAGATTGGGAACGAGAAAATATGGGATTTCAATGAACACTGTGCTGGAATCTGCCATCGGTGTAGTAAGGCAAGAGGAGAAAATAAAATTTACATAAATTTTAAGAAAAATAATAAGACTATATTTTAATGAAATATCCAGTAAGGAATCATTAAATTATTTGAAATAGCAAGAATTTATCTATGCTGTAGAATATGTACTAAACCAATGAAAATCATTTTGAATGTTATTAATAAAATATGAAATTCTCAGTAATAAATTCACCAATTATGTGCAAGATTTAATAAAAATGATTGATGAATTTTAAAGAATTAAATAAATCCAGATATAGAGTATTACGTGGATTGGAAAAATCAAAACTTCAGAGATATGAATCTCCTCCTGATTTGTAGACTAATTTAATATAATCATAAACCAAACTTTTATTAGGGTGTATGTGTGGAATTTGACCAGTTAATTCAAATATTTTTGTGGAAATCAAAGGTCAAGATCTTTTAAAATAATCATAGGATTGAAGCAAATACTCTATGAGATATTTAGGCTTGTTACAAAACCACAATAATTAGGACAGTTTGGTAGTGACGCTAAGGAAGGGAATGGAACAACGAAACAGAATGGAGAGCTTGAACCCAGACACATGCATTATAGATATTTTGCTTATGAAAAACAAGCAATGTAGATTTGTCAGAAAAGAATTATATGGAAATATCAGACTCTCAAGAAATATGATAATTAGGTATCTACATGAAAAAAAATTAAACGGGACCAAACCAATCACACTAGGCAAAAATAACACCAGATAGATTATAGATGTATATGTCAAAAAATAAAAAATAAAAGCAAATGCAAACAAACAAAAAACTCTGCAAAGGCTTAAGAGAATAACATGGTAAAACAGGATAGTATCTTTACAATCTTGGGAGAAAAAATTAAACAAAACATCAAAAGTACTTTAAAGTGAATAAGTTTGCTTTTTTCTTTAAAGTGTTCATCAAAAAAGATGAAGAAAGTAAAAGGATGTCACAGCACAGAAAAAGATAACTGCAACACATAACACTGACAAAGGATTTAAAAGTGGAATATGAAAGGAACTCCAAAAAAAATCAATTAATACATCACAGCAAACCATGTTTTTAAATGGTCAAAAGACTTGAAGAGAAACTACAAAAAGAGAAAATTTAAATGCTCTATAAACCCAAAAGCTGTTTAAGGTTATTAGTAAGCGAAGAATTCCAAATTAAAATCAAAACACCACTAAACAGCCACCAGTTTGCAACAATCATAAAGCCTGAAAACATCAGCTGATTCTTACTGTATGGAGCACCTAGAATCATTAAAACTGCAGATGAAAGCATATATTGCTGTAATAACTTTTGAATGCATACATTCGACTCAATGCTTCTGCTTCCTATATACAATAATGTTTGTGAATGTATTCTAGAAAAAAATGTAGCAATGATCATAGCAGCACTATTATACCTGCCACCAAACAACCAAATACTCAGTCAAATGGATTAATAAATTGTGGTATAAGCATATAATGGAATACTATGCAGCATAAAGGGGAAAATTAAAAGCTATATCCAACAACATAGGTGAATTTTATACAAACATGTTATTCACTGAAAATAACACCATAGGATAGTGCATGCCACAAAATTTGGTTATATAAAGTTCAAAACAGGACAAAACTAAACTATATTAGTTGGGGTTACATACACAGATTTCAAGATTCTAAAGCAAGAAAATTCTTCCCACTTTCTGGGGCAATTTCAAAAATCAGAAACCAGATAAACGCAGGTAACTGTCTTGCTTTTAGAAAATAAAAAGCCAGGGCATTGCTGCCTCCATGATTCTAGCTACTTAATGTACCTAATATTATCTATGGGGGCATTATCTATGATAATTAATTTATTTATAGTTTGTGGCATAATTTTTACCATGTGCCGTAATAAAAAATTCTATTATTTTCTGAAACAAATACCAAGACCTTCATGAGTGCATGCTATATTTTTCTACCCACATAAAAATTACCACAAAGCTTCCTACAGTCATTATTCTCAAGCAAATCAGAATGATAATTGGTATTTGAAATGAACTAAATGACTAGATACTTCACAGATACAGTCATTATAATCTCAAAACCTTTTTTTTTTTTTTTTTTTTTTTTTTTTTTGAGACGGAGTTCTGCTCTGTCACCCAGGTTGGAGTGCAGTGGCCGGATCTCAGCTCACTGCAAGCTCCGGCCTCCCGGGTTCACGCCCATTCTCCTGCTCTCAGCCTCCCCGAGTAGCTGGGACTCACAGGCGCTGCCACCGTCGCCGGCTAAGTTTTTGTATTTTTAGTAGAGACGGGGTTTCACTGTGTTAGCCAGGATGGTCTCGATCTCCTAACCTCGTGATCCGCCCGTCTCGGCCTCCCAAAGTGCTGGGATTACAGGTAATCTCAAAACCTTTTAAAGATTTCTATCAATGATTTAAATTTGATGGTTTTGCTAATACTGAAATGAAAAGATTCACTATGACTTTTCAAAGAAATATCAGATGGTGCAATACAGAAAAGAACAGCAACAACAAACGAATCATTGGTAACCTCAAGGAGATCTGAGTTGCTGGATAATATAACATTTAAATTTTAAAACCATTTTTTAAAAATTAAAAATCTATGCAAAGATCATGGCTACCTGGAATTCAAGAAAGAGTTCTGTTGGTCAAATATCTTAATTTAAGCATCACTTAAGCATAGTATTTACTAGAACACTTACAACATTATTACATTCTTTACTTCTGCACCCTCCATATTAACTACCCAAATGGTTCCTTAGAGTAATAAAATCTATGGATTGTCACTGTTAAGATGGAAACTTTGTGACTGTTAAGCTGCTATCACAGGTAACATATTTTCTTCTGTGAGGGCAATAGGATTGATTATATTAAAACAGGCCTTGATTTCTTCTTTCTGCCCTTTCCATAAATCTTTAGGACTATAAGCATGTAGGCAGACACAAAAGCAAAGCAAGGTGGGTGTTGTTTACTGTCGTAATACAACTGATTTCTCTTGTGTCTCTAACTCTCATCCCCAAAAACCAAGGCATACAGCTTAGGCTTCGAATTTTCATATTTCAAATTCAAATTCAAATCTTTCCTTTCCTTATACCCACATTTGTCAGTTACAGTCTGCAAGGCTAACTTTGTGCCTATTTCACCACTGGGAACTTTATATTCAGTGACATATGGACTGGATGTTGATTTTGAATCTCAAAAAATTTGCTATTTAAAAATAAAAGAAACATTACCTTGGAAATAACCTTGTAAAGGCACTACAAATCTTTCTTCTAGCTGGGAAAAAAAAAAAAATCCCGTAAAAAGCCAAAAACAGAATATAATATTCTTTTCTTGTCTGGTTTCAGTCAGACTTTAGAAAAAGTAAACAGAGAAAGAAAAATTGCTAAAAGTGAAGCTTTTTTTGTCAGCTAAGAAAATACAAAGTCTCCAGGGGTTTCTCTTTTCTCTTTCCTTGGTTTCTTCTGTCAAATTTTATAATAAAATCAACCACAAATGTGAAAAAGAACATATATTTTGTTTCGTCTAAAGAAATACCTAAACTTTATATGGTGCTTTGAGAATTACTTAGCCCATATAATTTCTTTGATATTAAGAAAAATATACTAAAGTCCTGTTATGAGATGAGATGGTTTCTAATAGCACACACAGAATTTGAATTAATTTGATTTAAGATTTTGTTCAAGGGAACATAGCAACCAAAAGGATTCCACCAATCACCAGGAATGAAAGCTTTGATCCCAAGAACAAAAGAATAGAGAGGCTGTTTTGCACTATTTTCTTTTCTGTTATTCAATAAAATTACATTTTCTATTTGTACTCCTTCATTTGCCTATATTTTCCCATAGCGTCTCCATTTAAAAAAAAAAAAACAAAAAACACTTTTCACTTTCTTGCCTCTTTACTTCACATATGAAACATTTTTTAAATTCTTAAAAAATATAGATTAGGGTTAAGAAAGAGTTCATGTATTTTTCATTTTTCTACTTTTCTATAAGAAAACTAAAATACATTTTTGAAAGCACTACTTCGGTATAAAATTGATTTTTCTTTTCTTATATAATACATAGTTTGTTCATAAACTCCATAATATGAGAGCTCATTCTAAAACTGACCTTCAATTTTAGCATTCTGTTGGTAATCTTCTGCTTGCAAAAATGAACATTTTCCTTTTCAATTGTATGTATTTTAATATACTCTGTAGCCACATTTTTTCCTCTGGAGCTTAACAGTACAATCAGGCTTGTCATGAAGAGTGCCATTAGCCTGAGAATGGCAGAAAGGACACGTGACACAAAACTGGACACTCCAGTGCATTTCACCTGTGGGTAAAATAGTTGCTGAATAGTTTTTGAGTAAATAATAGTATATACATTCTTTAGTGAAAGGCTGTTTTACACTGACTGTATTATCATTCACTTATAGGTATTTCCCTCCTGGAAACTTAATTATTTCTTTTGCTATATCTTCAACTGCAATAAATAGTCTACCAATACTCAATTTCCTTAAGGATATACTACAATTAAGGCACAAACACTAAACTAACAGGAACAGATCACACCCCAAAGAAAAACATGAAAAACAGATTTTGGAACCATACAGTGCATTTCGCATGTTTTGACAAACCATTCTGTATATTTTCAAAAGAAATATTTTATTCATGTAAGACATTTAATCATGGATATATGAAAGAGAAATGGATATTTATTATATGGAAAGGATGTATGTAAAAGAAAGATTTATTGATGTAGCAAGAAAATAATTTCTTTCCCTAAAATTATAGAGCATAATTTTATATCTATTCTCAATAGCTGAAGTTAGGTGCTCGAAATATTTTCAGAATTATTAAATAAAGATGTGCCTTACAACATTACTATGCATGGACAGTACAGTGACTGCAATAAAATTATACTACTAAGCTATTAACCTTGAGGAATCTGTCATGAACTTGCACCCCACAAAGGAAGAATCTGAGCGCTCACTTATCATAGATGACTTTAAGGAGAGGAACCTGAGCGCTCACCTATCATAGATGACTTTAAGACTTCTTAAGGGCCGGGTGCGGTAGCTCATGCCTGTAATCCCAGCACTTTGGGAGGCCGAAGCAGGCGGATCACAAGGTCAGGAGATTGAGATCATCCTGGCTAATACCGCAAAACCCTGTCTCTGTTAAAAATACAAAAAAAGTAGCTGGGCGTGGTGGTGGGCGCCTGTAGTCCCAGCTACTTGGGAGGCTGAGGCAGGAGAATGACGTGAACCCGGGAGGCGGAGCTTGCAGTGAGCCGAGATCGCGCCACTGCACTCCAGCCTGGGCGACAGAGCAAGACTCCCTCTCAAAAAAAAAAAAAAAAAAAATTCATTAAGCCACCTTCTGTGAGTTCTTAGAGCAATTCCTCAGGATTCTATTAGGGGAATAAAGCCATAATTCAATTAAAATTCATGACTTTATGCTATTTAATACCACACACAAAGAAATTTTAGAGATTCGTGAACACACTCTGTGAATACAAAGGCAGAACATAAAATTAATATTTGAATTATGACAGATACACACATATACCTATCATGCACATGCATATATACATATGTGTGTATCATGTTTATAATGCTAATAAATGTTTTATTGTATTGGGAAAGTAAAATTTAAAAGATAGCCACATGTGTATATCATTGTAAATATGTCTTCCAATGACCATATGAAAACTCAGCATAAAGAGAAAACCAAATGGTTCATTTGAATATCAACATCAACACATTTCTGAAGAAAATCAAAATAAAGCATTAAATACATATTACATTTTTAAAAAACTTTTAAAGGTTCAAGATGTCATCAGCATCTGGATCGCATTACTCGGAAAACTCGGTACTATTCAGAAAATACTAAGAGTCCAGGGTTCTAATTGCCATTTACCATTATTTCACTTTGTCACTTAAATCAATTACCCTATCTAAATCTTAGGTACCTCCTTTTTAAAATTACAAAATGGATTAGATGATTTCTATAGATGCCTCTAGCTTTAATAGTCTATGATTCTGATTACATTCTGGCTTGAGACCAAAAAACGTTAGAGCAAGATAAGAGGCTACCACTTAATAACGTTATGACCTTTATTAATATTTCCACAAAGCTAAGAGTAGCAAAAAGCTTGAATGCAGCAGAATGACTAGCTTACACTTACCCGAGAGCTGCATGTTTCATTTCCTCATTTTACTGAGGCCTCTGCTGAAATATATCTTTATCAAAAAGCCCTTTCCTGAACACCCCATCTAACCACCACCCATCATTCTCTACACATTACCAGATTTTATTTTTCTTTCTAGCACTCTTTGCCAAAAGATATTTTACATTTTAAAATTTTTGGATGTTTATAATTCCCACTGATATAAACTCCATGACAGCTGTTTTGTTTTGCTTTGTTTTGTTTTAAATTCACAGTGGTGCTTCCAACAGACTGGTGCCCAGCATATAGAAGGTGCTCAGTGAAGTTTGTTGATTGAATGACTGATGCTTTCAACAATGAGTAAATGCATATGACTTGATCACAGAGGCATGTTAACACTGCGTAGCAGAAAATGAGGCTGAAAAAATAAGTTGGAACATGGTTAAAAGTAAGTTGGAAGGGTTGTCTTAACATTCCACGTAGGGTTGTCCAATAGAGCCTTTAATGATGAGAGAAATATTCTAGAACAGTGCTGTTCAATTCAGTAATCTCTAGCCACATGTGACTTTTGAGTATTTGAAACTAGGCTACTGTGATGGAGGAACTCATTTTCTTTTATTTACTTTTAATTAAGTTTATATTTAAATTTAAATAGCTGCATAAGGCTAGTGGCCGCTGAATTGAACTGTGCAGTTCCTAAGGAATTTGAAACTACTCCAAAAGCAATGGGAAGACACGGGAGGTTCTGTAGTAGAAAAAAGTGTGATAAGACTATATTTTTGAAAAATGATACTTTTGAAAGTAATATTTAGAATGAATTGGAATGGAGAGAAATTGTAAAGCAAAATGGCTAAATAGAAACTTGCAAAAATTTGGTGTAAGGAACTGAGGACCGGAATTAGGGCAGTGATAGAATGAATGGAAGGGATGGAAGTGATAGGGAAACATCACAGTGGCAAAATCAATAGAACTTTTTTTTTGTTTATTTGTTTGTTTTTTACTATGATCCTATATTTGCTGCTACAGAAGATTAGATAGATAACAATTCCACCTACAAAAAAGAACTCAGGTAGTAGAGCAAAACCATACTAAGTGTAATGTCAAGAGAAATTCACTGACTCAAAATTCAGCTCATTTTAAATCATTTTAAAATCCAGACACATAAATTACAATTACGAGTCAAAAAAATAGCAGCATTAATTTAAGAAAAAGAAAAAGTTTTCTTTGCATTCCAAGTTGGTTGAAAATCAAGTGTAAGTAATGTTTGTAACCAATTCAAAATTGACATTGAAATGAGGATTGCTTCTAAGGTCAAACATCATATACATATATATACACACACACACACGTATATGTGTATATATACACATATATACACATATACACACACATATACATATATACATATGTGTTATGTATATGTGTGTGTGTATATATGTGTATATATATGTGTGTGTGTATATATATTGGGTGATGTTTGTGTATGGGTGTGTGTATATAAATATTAGGTATGTATGTGTATAAATACAAACAATTTGAAAAACAATTGAAGATGTTTTCAAATAAGTCTACCCTATTTCTTATTCTTATAGAAAGCCACCTGGGACAAGCAGGCACATGCTCCTCTTTTAATGAAGGGAATAAATTTTTATTTTAAATTTACTTTTAAACAGTGAAATCCTTTCTATCACAACACAAGGAAGACTTCTCCCATATTGGCAACTGTTTTTATATGGTTGGCAGGTTTCAATGAGTCTGAACATGAATAAAATCCAACTACATCACTGGATGAAAAGCTCATGGACTTCCGCTTTTAAAGATGAAATAGAAAATAACTGTCACATACTAGAAAGCCAAAGGGTGATTTATAATTTAATCAACAAAGAAGCCTTGACCCTTATTTGCACTATTAAAATCTTAATATAACAAAGCCATGTAGTGGGACTGTTAGGATTTAAAAGCAAATAAAATTCCTTGGCAGACTAAGGATTTTTGCCATCTGTATCTTAAAGCAGGAGGAAGCATATTCTGTGTTCAGGCTCTGTAATAAGCATATTAAAGTCAAAGGTGTAGCTAAATATCCCAAGCTAAGTAAAAATGAAAAGAAATGCCTGCACAGCTCGTGTTCTGAACAAAAAAACTGTCCATATTTTGAGAAATTCCACTCTCTATGAACTTCCGCTAATGATTACAACAGCAGGAGATGAAGCCAAGGAGACTCCAAGTAAATTGAAAAGCACGATTTTAAGAGAAGCCCCCAATACCTAGTAGAATGGTAAAGATTTACTCTGACTTCAACCTATACCAACTAGTAGGACATATATTTGTACAATAAATGTATGTCCTGAAAGCATGATAGGGCATAACTCAGTGGAGAAACTGACACATAAAAGCTACCCTCTCTGTTGCTCTACTAAAAAAGATGTAATTATAATTAAAAACAAAAGAAATTGTTTTAAAGAAGTGTATTTATACTAGGATTTCAAATCTAGGAACTCCTGAAATTTTTCTAAATGAGAAATAATACCAAGAAGAAACCGTAGGTAGAAACGTGTAAAAGATGGCTTACTACGTGGTGATTAATATTAGTCTGACATGTTAGATGTTATTTCGAATACCAAAATTTTCACTACAGTCTATTATTATACAGATACTATAATTTTAAAGAATTAATTACATGATAAATTGACGGTGGTCCTATGCTAGAAGGCAAAAGGGATTAGAAAATTCACACAACTGCACAACTGTGAGCATTTTTATCCAAAAGTGCTATATTAGTCTAGACACTGCATTTTGAAATACAGGTTTTCTTAAAAATCTTACCTGTTCATTAAAATATTTCATATCTTTTTGCAAATAGGGTCAAAAGATCAGTATGCTCACTTTTTCTTCTTCCCTAGCCCATCTATAACCTCAGAGATAACTATGTATCTTCATCATTAGTCTGGAGCTAGTAGATGAGTTTGGAATCACTGAATCTGCTCTTAAAAAGTAACTTCTGAGACAGAAGGTTATAAATTGCCCATTACAAATATATAAATCTGATTTTAATTTTAAAGTACTGGCATTTATATATTTTAAAACTGTATAAGCTTAACTAGAATTTTTTTTTTTTTAAAAAAGCAACCATAGTCAAATGGTATTGTAGACAAATAGTAAATAAACTTCTTGAATTGAATATTTTTTCTTTTTCTTGCCCATACTGCCCTTATTTCACTCATCTAATATATATGCTAAAGAGCAAACAAGAGGCCGGACACGGTGGCTTATGCCTGCAATCCCAGCACTTTGGGAGGTCAAGGAGGGTAGATCACCTGAGGTCAGGAGTTAGACACCAGCCTGACCAATATGGCGAAATCCCGTTTCTACCAAAAATACAAAAATTAGCTGGGCGTGGTGGCACATGCCTGTAATCCCAGCTACTTGGGAGGCTGAGGCATGAGAATTGCTTGAACCCGGGAGGCAGAGTTTGCAGTGAGCCAAGATTGTACCACTGCACTCCAGTCTGGGCGACAGAGCAAGACTCTGATTCAAAAAAAAAAAAAAGAAAGAAAAAGGAAAAGAAAGAAAGAAAGGAAACAAGAAAGAAATAAAATCCACTTGCTTAAGCAAGTTTTATCCGACAGAGGCTCCCTATACCTTACCCCAAAATTCCCAAAGAGAAAGAAAACACATTACATTGAACTAACATGTAAACCAAAAGGATCATAAAAGTGAATAACTCTACATGAATCTGGATAAAGAAAGAATGCTTGCAGGGATAAATCTGGACATAGTTTAAATGACATGGCTCTTTTATTTCTTAAAATTGGTGATATAATTTAAAATAAGTGAATCTGTCATTCCAAAGTTTAAAACTTTATTTAAGGGAAGAACTGAAAAAAAGTCAGACTTGAGTTCATATTTC